ATATTAATCTATATATTAATCTATATATATATTAACCAGTAAGAAAGAAGAAAGTAGCTCTATATTTGAAATTGACTAGTATTTTCAAATTTGGTTAAAGATAATAATTCATTCATCTTCTAAACCTTTCTCCCTCACATTCTAAGCCTGAAGAGCACTATCCTCAGTTTTTCATCTAGGAAATCCCATTGCTGCTTAAAAAAAATTAGGTAATACCAAAGAAAAAGTCTTGAAAAACTATTAACTATGTACACATTAATAGTTGGCATGATAGGAGACATGACTGAAAAATATACTTTTGAAAATATATTACAGTAAAATACATATGGCCATTAATCCTCCCCAAAATCCTCTCCAATGCTCAGAACATACTTATCATATCACTCTTGACGTTTTCTGAAGCAGTTCTGGAAGTCCACTTTTGTGATTGGCTCTAAATGTTATCGTGGTTGCCTTGATGTCCTGAATAGGTTCAAAATACTTACTGTTCACAAGTGCTTCTATTCTGAGAAAGAACCGGAAGTCACAAAGTGCCAGATCCACCAAACAAGTTGGATGAGGACACCATAGGTTTTTCATGTTTGTCTTTTCTTTGGGGCACTTGGCAGTGCCAGCCACTGCATTGTCTGTCACAGCAAAGACATTCAGGAAAGAGGTCGCACAGAACTGCTTCAGAAAGTAGAACAGCGATGGGATGAGTGTGTTTGCAGGGAAGGGGAAGTATTTTGTGAGGGGCGAATGGCAATGTTTCTTTCACTATAATAAAATTTTTATATAAACATTCATTTTTGTTTGTTTTCTTTTTGTTTCTTGTGGCCAGCTCAGCCCACTCTGGGGGCAGGGCTGGCATGGCATGTGGTGCTGGGAATCAAACCACAGTCCCTGCACACTTGCCCAATCTTGCTTAAGCAGGCGCTTTAGACCGCTGAGCTATCTCTCTGGCCCCACTGTTATTTTTAAGTTCTCAAAAATATATAAACTGATCGAATAGGTTACAATGTTTCTTTTAGCTATTTAATTTTACTAAAATTGTAAGCCAACATTGAGGTCCTTATGAATTAACTTAACAAAAAGTTTAATTTTTTTCAGTTAGCGGTTGTCATTTGAGTAAAATAGTTCTAATCTTTGTGCATCTATAAAAATTCAGCTCTTTTGCTCTTTCTTTCACATTTTCTCCATGTTTTTTGGCTAAGCCAGAACTACAGAAATTGATTCTGACTCCTGCCTCAAAGGCTAAAGTTAGGATTCATTCTTTATGTCTAACTTATAAAAAGCCTTAAGGTCCATAATTTAGTGTTATATTATAATCCAAATTCTAAATGTAGTATAAGTAGGGTGACTTCTATTGTGAAAATGATTACCGATTTATTAAAAACTGAATTGTTGACTACTTGTTATGTGCTAGTTGCTTGGCTTGAGGCAGGCGGTGACTAAGCTTAAATACCTCAACTAGGGAAGGGCTTGAGATACATAGATATGATATACATATATTCATATTTGAAGACAGAATGATATAAATACTATGCTTTTATCCAAAGGGCAATGTTATTTTATAACTATATATTATATTGCATCTGTTCCTTAGACATAAATATGATTGTCTATTATACATTATTAGTTTTAATTGGTTGCTAGTACATAGTATTCTTAAGCATTCTGAAGTAAGATAGTCCATGTGCCACTCTCATATTTTCTCTCATAAAGATCAAAGTCCGTTCTTCTCCAGGAAGCACGGGTGCAGAGCTTATCACAGATCACTGGTTTGCCCTTATTAGTCTGCTGTCATCATACGCCGTGAGGTAATTTCCCTGATCTCCTGGCTTTCTGATTTCCTCTGAGGCTTTATTTTCAGTGTGTGACTTATGCTTATAATTTGACCTTTAGTTTAGCTGAATTTTTATTAGGGCCACATACTGTTTTCCAAACGTTAAACATTCTCATAAAGATCTCTGCTGCACTCAAACTGTTTTTGAGATAATAGTAGAGCTTACTGTAGCATAACTTCTTAATTCCATCATTGGATGTTGTGCACACCCCCGTGTATATACATGCACAAATAGGTGTACACACACACACATACACACACACACACACACACATACACACACACACACATTCTAGTTCACAGAATCCTTGAAGCTTTTTAGACTGGGAATATCTTTAGAAGTCCACTTTTCAATTTTCTAACTTTCCTGATAGTGAAATTGACCCTTCACGTGCTAAATCAATTTGACAGGATAGATGCCAAAGCTGCAAAACTTCTGAAATCGTGGTATTCAAATGCTCTGCTTATGTTGTTAACAGGATAATTGAAAAGATACGCATTTCTTATTTTACTTTAACTGATGGAAATTAAAAAAAAAAAAAAAAGAAAAAGAGTGATCCTATCTTGGGTCATGGCATCATGCAATACCCTAAAATGAGAAAATATCATCAAGTGCCCAATTCCTGTTTCCACAGCTAGTACCTTACTTGACCCCACAAGACCCCCATCTTTACTTCGCAGAGTTATAGGAAAACTCTGACCCATCACCAACCTAGGAAGTAAGGTTTGGGTTATGGTGGATACTTGTGTCAACTTGAGAAGTCTAGAAGTATAACTAAATAACTCAGCAGTTCTATATCCTGGGGTGAAAAAGACCCCACCTGCCTCTAAGATTTTGTTCCTTGTGTCAACTTGAGAAGTTTAAAAGTTCAACTATGTAATTTAGCAGGGGAATGGAACCTTACTTTGTAAACATCCTCAGCCTGAGGAAAAGGAGGACACAGAGATGGTGTGGGCGTGGGCGGATAGCTGATATACAATATAAGGGAGAAGAGGCTTGCATTCCTCTTTTGCTCTTGCAGTTCTTGCGTCTTTTTCCACCTTGAAGTGTTGTCCCTGTGTATGCCACCCTGGATGGAACCAGCTGATTATAGACTGAAACCTCCAAAGAGTAGGAGCTAAATAAACCTTTCCTTCCTTAATTTTGTGTATCAGGTATTTTGTCTCAGCTCCCAAGACACCTGCATGTGCCTAGGTTCCATTTTCTGCCTGCCACTCAGAGCTGGGTGTGAATTCAGCACCTCTGGACCCTTACCAAGCTACAGGGTAGAAGAACAATCCTAGCTTCTCTCACTCTGACCATGCCCCTCTGGATCTACTACTCTAAAGAAAGACAGAAATCAGTCCTCTCTTCTATACTCAGCACTCTGAACAAAGGTAAGTTATGTCAGCTGTCTGTCCCCCAGGGCGAAGCTTCTTCATAAATATTGATAAGCTAAAAGGGCATTTCCATCCTCTGGATGACAGATGAAATGTGAAGATCAATATTGTTCACCCTTCCGCTTCAGTGATCCCAAGAAAAACAGAGGAGAAAGGAGGAGGAAAGACAACTTACCTTATCAAGGTGGTTGTAGAAGTCAGTGTTTGCTGCACACAGATACCTCCCAAGGAGAGTGGCATGGGTTGTGAATATCGTGGCCATCGGGAGTTTCCGGGCTCGAGAAAGAATCAGCCCGGTTCCAGCTTGCCATTCATGAAAATGGGCAATGATATGTTGGCCCTCTGCATGGTCTGTCACCTACACCAGAAAAAAAGCATTTAGAAAAGTTGTTGATGTCTAATCCTAATCGTTGCCCTCAGCCTAAGTAGACTTATGGTATCTGTACATTTTATTACAATGTGAAGAAATCTAAATATTAGGGATAGACTTAGCAGGAGCAAGCACTTCATAGGATTCAACGGCATGCTCATCAAGTTCACAGATTTTTATGCTGTAATTCCCATTCTCAGCGATTCATGAGATCAGAATATATTGATATTGCTATTAATAATAAACCATAATATTACTAAAATATTAATAAATGCACAGATATACCTAGTGAATATTCACTGAATAGATGCATCATAAATAACAATATTATTGAAGAGATCATTGAATAACTGAATCAATTTGAACTCCTCTTTTCTTTCATAATTTTATTGATAAACAAATAGCAATGAGACAGTTCCAAATCAAATCACTAGG